ACTTATATGCATCATGTGAAAGGCAGGACTGGAGGAATCCCAAGATGGAATTAAGATTGCCAGAAGAAATATCAACAACCTCAGATATGCAGATGATACCACTCTGATGACAGAAAGTGAGGAGGGATTAAAGAACCTCTTAATGAGGGTGAAAGAGGAGAGCGCCAAAAATTGTCTGAAGCTAAAGATCCAAAAAGCTAAGATCATGGCCACTGGTCCCATCACCTCCTGGCAAACAGAAGGGGAAGATATGGAGGCAGTGACAAATTTTATTTTCTTGGGCTCCATGATCACTGAAGATGGTGACAGCAGCCACAAAATTAAGAGATTCCTGCTTCTTGGGAGTAAAGCAATGACAAACCTAGACAGCATCTTAAAAAGCAGAGATATCCCTTGTCGACAAAGGTCCGCATTGTCAAAGCTATGGTTTTTCCAGTTGTATGGTATGGAAGTGAGAGCTGGACCATAAAGAACGCTGACTGCCAAAGAATTGATGTTTTTGAATTGTGGTGCTGGAGGAGACTCTTGAGAGTCCCCTGGACTGCAAGGAGATCTATCCATTCTGGCTCCGTTACTTTGGCTATCTCATGAGCAGTAGAATTCTGGTCCTTAGGTTAGATAACAGCATGATTTATCATCATCTTAGAAATGCAGAGCTGGAAGGTACCCTATGGATCCAGCCCATGTCAAGGAAGCACAGTAGAGAATAGAACTCCCATCCTAAAGCACTGAGCTATCTTGATTTACTAAAACTAAGCAACACCAGAAGCTGACTAGCAACAACAGAAGTTACTTGTGCAATGCAAAAGTGACCAGTCTCTACTCTATACTATACCTTACAAGTGGTGGAGGTACAGACAGACTTAATGCCATTATTTTTATAGGGATAACCACATCTCATGAGTGCAAAAAAAGATAATATGTCTGTGAAGCACATAGAAAAACACTCAAAACATAATTGTATGTCATACCTACTTTTCAGGATATTGGAATAATTTCTGTTAACTGTTCAGATACGAAGAATTTAAATCAAAGAACCAGGAAATATAACAGGTTTCATTCAGATAACAGTCTTGGTGTGACATGCAAATTACTACTGTATTACAGACTACATGCATAATTAGGTATCTGCAAATTCATTACAGACAAGTTGTAACTTTATCAACGTTTGGATCATTTACAGATCTTGCTGGTTATACAGGTTCAGCTTGTTCTATTTTTCCAATATACACATATAATGTGTTAATGTCACTGATGGATGGTCTCCAGATGTGCTGGGATCCTTTTTCCTCACCCCTACTTCCCTGCATATAACATCAGGAGATAACAGAAAGGAAAAGAGGAAGTCCTTCATCTCAGTCTGGGCCCTTATCAAGACTGGAAGCTGGGAAGATACACTATTTCATGCACTGACCATCATGATAGTTCCTGTTAGCAGAAAGGAGCTACTGAAGCCCCAACCATTCTACACTCTTCCTCCATCCCTGCGGGCAAGAAAGCAAGCCCTCCATCAAGCTGCCCATTACATTATCACCTAGGCCTAAAGGTTAGACAAAAAGAAGAATTTAGGACAGGTCCTGCATAGGGACGTTCAATGCTCAATCTGCTTTCCAGTCAATAGGGTTCATATACCTTTAATGGGAGCAGTATAGCACTAGGGGATGACAAGTTTGTTCTGAAGTACATGTATACTGAAACAGGAAGCGCAAGTCTTCAGAACAGCTACTTCTTCTAACTTGAGACACTCTGGCTCTATCAAAGGGGAAGAGGCAACTAACTGGCAGGCCACCAGCCTGGCATGTTGTAATGTTCTTCTTTGACTCAGCAGGCCTGACCTAAGCTCCTGATCTAAAACAGAGACAATGATCTGGCCACAACATCCGGTGAAGCAAAAAACCCCTCATTTAATCAGGCATGTATGCTCACACACGCCCTACATTGAGGTAAAGGTGCCTTACTTTACGCCAATTGAATAACAGTATCATCAGTAACTGTCATGACAAGCTTTAAGAAGTTGTTCAGTTACATGCCCACCCTAGACTACTTTGCGTAAGTAGATATAAATTTTAGGAAACAGGGCATGGTAAGAATGTTTGTGTGGGATCACATTGTGTGTGTGCACGCGCGTGTGGACACATGCGTTCACACACATACTCATTTTCCTGCTGTTCTTTTCAATGGATTTAGCTCGTAAACATAGCTACAGTGGTGCCTCACATAGCGATTGCTCCATATAGCGATGAAACTGCTTTGCGATGGACTTTTTGCCATCGCAAGAGTGATCGCTTTGCAATGGCCCCTATGGGGAAATTTCTCTTTGCGATGATTGCGGGGAAGTGATCATCGCAAAGCCCCCATTTTCGGCCAGCTAATCAGCAGTTTCCAATGCAGGCATTGCAGCCTGAAACTCGGTAAGACTTAAGAGTGTGGTGGAGAGGCACATATAAGTCACATGACCAAAGCTACCCCGTCCAGATCTGTAACTCAGATCTTCCCGTGTTCGGCACAAAGGTCTGAAGAGGTGCCTGCAAGCACATTCCCCTGAACCTGTTTACACTGTTCACATGATCAAGGGAGCTCTAGGGATGCCTGTCATATGAATGAAGCATATTCAGGTGAACTCTGTTCCAAGTAGCTTTTCAGATGCTGGTGCTCAATACATAAAGGTGTGAATGATTTTGTGGTGAGGAGGGAGAACTGGAAGCAGGACTTTCTTGCATCTATCTTTACACACTTAAAGGCCTGCGTTCCAAGTAGCTTTTCAGATGTTGGTGCTCAATACATAAAGGTGTGAATGATTTTGTGGTGAGGAGGGAGAACTGGAAGCAGGACTTTCTTGCATCCCCCTATCTTTACACACTTAAAGGCCTGCTTTATTTCATGCTATAACATCTGGATTGGGTTGGATTACCCTCTTTTGGTTTTTCATCCCCTCCCACAATATTTTTGGTTTTCCGTTTCAGTCTTGGAAGATCTGAGACAGGGAAGAAAATTAGGCCCCGAACCTACCAAAACTGCCTATTTCCTCAGACCTTCAGGTGTCTCTTCAGACCCTGTTGAAGTTTAAGAACTCAAGATTCCCCATCAGTTCATAACTGAAGCACACAAAAGCTGTACCTTTTTATGCTGTACCTTTTTATACTGTGGAGAAGGAAACCCATAGACATAGTTATTCATTTGGTAACTTCGACACGTGAGTACTTTCCCTTCTTGAGTATGAGCACCGACTTCTATTGGTACATAAATACCGGCTTCAACTCCCTCTTGACTGAAATAGAATGCAAGATACTTTTCAGATCAAGCAAATGTAATAATTTATTTATTTCTTAAAAGGGCTATTTATTTAGGAAGACACTATGCAATATTAGACAATTACAAAAAAAATTAAAATAAATGGAAGATTCTCCTTTTCAGTAGTTGATGAAACGGAGAACATGGACCATGTTTAATCTCGTGCAGCTACAGTTGTTTCTGAAAAGCAGCTTTCTGAGTGTCGGATTACAAAATTTACTACTAAAATGAAAATAAGGGCAAAAACAGAGGCATAGTGTGATGTGACATTTTACAGAACATTCCTAGACAATTGCTCATTAGGACAGTGCCACATAATGACCCTGCTAATTCCCTAACCTCTTGTTTGAATGGCACTGCGATCAGAACTAAGTCTGTACAGCTAATGTGGGTCTAAAAGTACACTGCATCTATATACACTGCACAATCTCAGGTAAAGAGAGAGGGAAAATCCACATAACAGATGTGATTAATATCCAGATATTTTTAGAAATAAATCACAAGACAGTGGGCATTACCAGCACTACCAAAAAGGAGGAACTGTCATCTCTGAAGACCTTTCACTTCTTTTCATGTTGTTTCTGGACCTGCCAAGCACAAGCCCTTGTTATCTACTGGTATACACCCAGTATGTCTTCAAGATCTGTAATGTGTGTATCCACACTGTGGGATATTAGGACACAGAGAAAGCATTAGGATCATGTCTACAACTTCAACACAGACTCCATTGCAAAACTATTTAGTTTTAATACTAGAGCTTAAGTATATTTCCAACTGCACAAATGCTCTGTCAGACCATCTATAGCAGGGTTCGGTGATCTCCAGAGGTCTGTGGGCTGCAGACGTCACACTGCTATGCCTTGGAGGGCCTGTTCCTGTGCCCAGAAAGGTTTCTTACAAAAAATGGGGTTTCTTTTACTGAAAAAAGTTTTTATACCCCCCCCCAATATTTTTAAAAGATTTAAAAATGTTATGAGGTATGGTGGGACTCTACGGGGTGCTCAGGAGCTCCTCAAAAATGGCAGAATTGGCTTTAGGCCTCGTAGAAGGCAAGAAGGGCTCTTCTGAAGTATAACAATTATGCATATGTCCTACTGTTATATAATTTGTTGTCTATACATATGTATAACTTGTCTATTCTGCCTCTCCCCCATTTTCCCAAGTACCATGTATCAGGTTTCTCAGACTGTACACTTTATATCCAGCTGCATGCTGGTGAAATCCCTGCTTACCAGTTAGTGGCTGAAATCCCATTGCACAGCTGTGTGTGTGCAATGGGAATGATGTCACCATCAACAGCAGATTAGTGGTGATTAAAGACTTTCTTTGGCAATTTTTGGGTGAAGACATATTATATATGAGTTACATGCACCTCAAAATTGCCACAAGAAACCTTTAATCAGCAGGAATGTACCACTGGTGATGACATCATTCCTATTCGGCAAGCGGAGTTGAACAATAGGAATTTGGCCACTACAGTATAAAATAACAGTTGGAATGTTTGCATTTCCTGCTCCCTGATTCCCAGTAAGGACAATATTATCTACAAGCAGTATTGGCACAAAAACACTGCCACTGGGCCAAAGAGGAACAGTAGGTTTAAACAGTTATCACAACACAAAGTCTCAATGTTGGAATCTTTACGACTGAAGTGTTCCATTTAGCATGAGTTTGCATGGAGAATAGCCAATTTCTTCAGAGACTTGGAACACAATATTCAAGTTACATGTTTGAAAAGGCATCCCCTTTGTCCTTTCTGCTTCCTAAGTGAGAACTACAGATTACTCACCTATCCAGAGAACACAGATCAGTAGTGTTCATTTTCCATACCACCCCCCACACTTCATCACCAGGGGCTTGAACAATTGTAGCTGTACTTCCATGCCATGTTGAACTTGGTTTGCCTTGGAAAGAGCCAAAAGCGAGTTTATAATCCTGTGAATTAAACCAGGAGGAAAGTGAATCTTCATTTACATGTTTCTAGTTTTAACATCATACAATTAACTGAAACAATTATTTTTCAAAAAAGCAGGAAAATAGGACAAACAGAAAGTACTTCTTTGATTGTGCACCTAATTTAAACCCTCATTTATAAAATGACTTCAAAAAGAAATAATGAGTTAAGCCAATCTTGATTTAGTTCAGATAAACTTCAGTTGAGATGAACCTTGTCAGAAAACTCATCTCCAAGAAGACTTGCCTTTCAGATACAAAAGATTACCTTGCTGATTACTTTCACGGTTAAAAATAACTCAGGGAAGGAAACTCAACGGAAGCAAAAAAGTGACTATGCAACATATCTTCCAAGTACTGTACAGTCGTTGCATCTCAAGTAGGTAACAAGTTTCTTTCACACCTTTTATTTTAAAGAATCAAGTGCGGTACTAACCAGAATGTGTGCCAGAGTGAGAAACACAACAGATGGGTTCCTTAGCATTATTCTCTCCCTCAACAAGTTACTTCCATATGCAAAATACAGGAAACTATCATTTTGACCATTTTCGACATCCAAATTTCCATCTAGTCTTGTATGAGTACAGCTCTGTATAGTTTCCATTTATTCGGAAGGAGTCCTGTTCAAAGAAAAGAACCATGAAATGTTTGTTCACCAGAAAGGGATCTATGGCGATATCCTACCAAACCAGGACACCTGATAACCAGTGGAGTTGACACTGGGCCATCTGAATCCATGCTGAATTCAAACCTTTCCCAGCCTCAAGATATTACGAATGGCTTACTACTGCCCTCACACTTGCCTAATGTTGTACTGGCACAGTGGCTATGTCCCTGGAAAAGATTGGATTTGCCATAACTTTACTCTTCCATCACTCCACCTCTTCTCTGCTCCTTTTTTGGGGTGGCTCTTCTGGCAGATCTCTCTAATAGCTGATGTCTCATATAAACTTGGAGAAAAATTGAAGGAGTTCTGTTCCACTTCTACCTGGACTGACAACAGTGCAATTTAGATTGCATTGTTACTTAGAGAGACACTTAACTTTATGTTGGCATAGTAACTGTGGCTATAATATACTAGAGGAATTTTGGATCTGACATAACTCAGCTCTTCTCTTGCTCCACCCATTTTCTGGCTCCTCTACCAGATTTTAATCAGCAGAGTAGTTCTGCCTGCAAACTCGTCTGCTGACAGATCTCGGAGATCAGCTAGCAAAATGACTTTATCTCCCTTTATAAGCCTGCTCTGGTGTTAAGATTATCAGTAGAGGCGTTTCTCTTGATCCCACCACCTTTATAGATGCATTCAGTGCGGACACTGGACAGAGCCTTTCCTGTCGCTACTCCCAGATTCTGGGATTTTCTCCACAGGAGGTCAGGCTTTTCCCACCTTTGTTGTCCTTTTGCCAACAGGCAAAGATCCTTCTCTTCGAGCAGGCTTTCCCTTAGTGACTGAATGTCTGAGGTGGATTTCTAAATGGATTGTTGTGTCTTGTTACTTTTAAATGCATTTCTGGTTCGATTTTGTTTACCATTTATAATATAATATTTGTTCAATTCTTTTAAAATATTTTTATACTTACTGTTTTTAGCTTTTAAATATTGTCTTTTTAATCATGCAAGCCACCCTGGGTCCTTTTTTAAGGAGAAAGGGGAGGCAAAAATCTTTTAAACAAACAAACATTCTCTCGCAAAAGATGTTTCTGCCAATTCCTCAACTCCTGTTGAACTGCAGTTCCTAATTCAAAGATGAGTTTGATGTACAGAATCTGGATTAGGCAGAAATCTCTTGATGCCAGCACAGATCCTCCTATGCCTGCTGACCTCCAGATGAGCTGGCAAAGGGATCTAAACTGCCCTGCTGGCTAAGATCTGCCAGCAGAAGAGCCAAAAGAGGAGCGGAGAAAGGGAAGAGTGAGAGAGGAGGCAAGCCGTGCCAGATCCAAACCTCCTCCAGGGCTGCAGCTGTTACGCCTGCACAAAGATCAGGCGTGAGGGAATAAAAGTAAAGGTTCCCCCTTGACATTTAGTCCAGTTATGTCCAACTCCAGGGTGCAGTGCTCATCCCCGTTTCCAAGCCATGGAGCCGTGAGGGAAATCCTCAGTAATTTCCCAACATCACCTGGCTTGGAGGAGTTTGGATTCATCACAGTTCCAGCTGGCTAGCTTTATTTTTTTATTTTATTTTATTTTATTTTATTTTATTTTATTTTATTTATTTATTTATTTATTTATTTATTTATTTATTTATTGCGGGTTAGGATTGAGCTCTCACAATACTGCAAAACTAACTGAAAAATGCAACACTATCTTGGGGAGTTTGAAAGGAGCCTTTTTGCCTGCAGCAGTCTCCTTATACCAGAAATGCCCTTGGGGAAGCAGAATCCACTTCTGCTGGCTGACCTCAGAATCAAGGCGTTTGCCAACAGAACTCCTGTGCTGGCTAAGGCTATGGGCAGAAAAACCAATAAAGGGGTGAAGAAAGGGAGGAGCGGAGTTTTGCCAGATCCAAACCTCGTGCAGCTGAGGGATGCAGCCAGTATGTCAGCAGAGAATTAGCTGAGGGCAATCCTAAATAGTCCTACGGGTAATCCTAAGTGATTTTCAGACATCCCAGAAATGCTTCATCTCTCTCTTGATGACTGAATTCCCACTCATCATGGGTAGTTACATAGGATGGTGCTCTAAGGATGCTTGAAGATGGTGTTGAATGAGAATATGTTTGTGTTCTTGGGGTGTGTGTGTTAGTGCTCAGATTTTCTTTTAATTAGGCTACCTGACTATCATTTTACTGGACTTTTCTTCTTGAGTTCCGCAAGCAGAGGTTTTAGACTTGCCCCTCTTTTGACGGTATATCTGCTACTGTTGCCAATGCTACATTTCTTATATTTGTTGCACCTCAGTCTCAAGGCATTGTTACACTTTATCTCTTTTTGACTTGGTGTGAAGGCTGGCAGACATCTCTGACAATTTATGAACAAGCCAATGGAGCTGATGCAAGCAAGTACAGTAGTCTCTTGCCATTTAATTGATCTATTATTGGACTATTAGGATGTGATGAAGTGTCTTGAAACATTTGTGTTACCTGATCTTTCCTGGTGTTTAGCATTTGGCATTGGGCACCTGTAATATTATCTGGTCAGCTGGAGTTTGATTTTGATCGTCTGAACTGTTGAGCTTAGCTATCCTCTCACTGAGAGCTTCGTTTCACTGCTCAGAGTATTTGCAACTCTGGGACAATGCCCAATAACACCTTAAGAAGATTAAACAGACACATCATTTCTAGAAATCATCAGTCAGCTATTATAAAAGTAGAGCTCTTAGTAAAAGAAGAGTGGACCTCATGTTCTTAGTATACTTTTTGCCAGGGTAGATTTGATTTAAATCAAATCGATTTAAATCACAATTTAAAACATGATTTAAACCACTAGTCAGTAATCAATTTATTTTAAACACTGATCTACATTTTAAAAAAATTGATTTAAATTTTAAAATCAGATTTTTTAAATTTAACTTGGGTTTTTTAAAAAATAAAATGCTTATTGACTAGTGATTTAAATCGATTTGATTTAAATAAAATCTATCCTGTTTTTTGCAGCTACCTAAACAGACCTACAAAGCTGGGAGTCTGCCACATTAAGCCCAAATGAGCCCTAGTTTGATTTAAATCAAATCTATCCTGTTTTTTTGCAGCTACTTAAACAGACCTACAAAGCTGGGAGTTTGCCACATTAAGCCCAAATAAGCCCTACCCAATACATGCTGTTCCTGAACAAGTATTCTGCTCTAAGACAAGGCATGCCCCAACCAATGAAAACACCAGCAAGAATGTAATAGGAGTCCTGCTGCATCTGACTAATTTGCAGGAAGGATATGTGGCATAAAATCATGTCATGCCATTTCAACTAGTCAGTCAGCAGGTAGCCTAGAAACTGTATACTACTGTATTTTCTCTACTTACGAAATATACAGGCCTTGGCAAAAGAAACAGGAACAAACATTTTATCTAATACGTCAAAGAAACACCATCTCAGCCTTTCAAGAAACGCAAGAGGCATACAGGACAACTATTAAGGCCTATTTAGTTCAGCATCCTGCCCCCCCCCGTCGCCCAACCAGATGCCCATCGGATGCCCCCAAGCAGAACACACCACCTCTGTTTCTGAGGATGGGATCCTGCCTTCGTGTAGATTTAACAAAAGGCACAGGAAATATGCATGCATCCTACTTCAGCTGCATTACATGCTCCTCTATTTTACATTTCTGAAACCTGCAAATTCCATTGTATATCACTGCTTCCTTTGACACACACAGCATGTATACAATCTAACCGTCTGGGATTTTATTACAAGGGCATCCGCTACATTTGCTCCACTCCTCCACCCCAATTTCCAGATGTCCTTTACTCTTAGGACTACCTAAGTTTTAGGACTTCCTAAGTTCTACTACCCAGAGTCTCCCTGCATACAACCATTTTATTCTCTCCAAGCAAGGAGCCAACCCGTACCAGGGAAAACACGACCTTTCCTGCCATTCCTCCATGCAAACCTGGATCGACCCCTTTTGCAATGCCCTCCTACCTCCCCCCTCCCCGTTCCCGGACCTGTCCGTGCTTCCCGCCTTCCTTCTGTCTCTCTCTGGCTTCCCGCTACGCGCAGCCGCGGCCAGACTTCGCCTGCCGGCGACTCAGCGCAGCCAGCAACCGGCTGTGACCGCGACGATGCCGTCCATTGGCCGACCGCTCCGGAGCTGCAGGCGCCGCCTCTTCTGATTGGCTGAGAGAGCCCGCGTGACCTTCCTATTTCCCCCCCCCCTCAGTGCCGATGAAGCGTAAAGCGGAGGTTGTGGCGCGCGTGACCTTCCTATTTCCCCCCCCCCTCGGTGCCGATGAAGCGTAAAGCGGAGGCTGTGGCGGCTCGGTTGCTGACGGACATTTTTAGGCTTCCCTCCCTGGCGCTCGGTTGGCTCTTCGGGTGTTGGGCTGCGCACCGCGCCTTGCCAGATGTGGTGTATTTCAGTAGTTCACAGTGTAACATCATTTCCACCGCGTGGCGGTTATTCAAATGACTCTTCTGTCAAGTAGGCAACGTGGGTCGATGTGATTTTTCTCATCACTGCCTCAGGATTATTTCCCTGTTATGGTAAATGAGGTGATGCCGGAACAATGGCATTTCTCAGGGCCGTTAGACAGTAGTCGTCAGTTGCCTCGCCTGAGAGAAAACCAAAAAGTTCCATTTCGTTACATGTCCCGCAATTCCCGCCTTTTCTGTGGTGAGCAACGGGCGGAATCTACGCTTGCCCGCTTCCGTCCTCACAACACACTTGTTTAAAGTGAGACAAGCTGAAACTGGCCCAAGTTTAGCCACAGAGATTGAGAGGCTTGCAAGAGAAAGTGGCGAAGCAGAAAAGTTGAGAGATGAGCAAACGTTCTGCTTTTGATCCCTCCTCTGTTGCTCTTTTATGTCCTTGGTTTTGAAATCAGATGTATGTGTGATCAAGTTATGATTTGGAGAATGAAGCTGGTGTGGCTCCTTGAATGCCTGTATTGCACAATGGCAAAGGCGGGGGGGGGGGGGGGATAAGGGATGTCTTTGTTACACCACTAGTAAAGGTAAATGTGGAGGGGCAGAGAACTAAACCAAGTGCCACGGACTAAAATGGGAGCAAAACTTTGCTCTGCAAGAAAATCTGGTTTTGCTAGAAGGCAAGAAGTTGTAGCTAGCTGAAGACTGAGATGCATAATAGAAGAGTTATGTTGACAAATTACATTGTTTTCAGGCCAGGAAACAATGGATCACAGTAAGAAAGAGATACAAAGTACCTGGTTAGTTGCTTATTGAGTGTGAGGTATTCCTCAGTACACTGATAAGGCCTACAGTTACAAAAGCCTAAAACAATGGGAAACTGTCCACAAATTTCTGCTCCAGTTTATAATTCACCAATCCCCAATCAAATTTCCAGTTGATAATGCAATTATACTCTCAATCAATCTATCTATCTATCTATCTATCAATCTATCTATCTATCTATCTATCTATCTATCTATCTATCTATCTATCTATCTATCTATCTATCTATCTATCTATCTATCTATCTATCTATCTATCTATCTATCTATCTTCTTTATCCCATTAAAATGGCTTTTCATGCAAATGGGGCAAGGGGATCACAGGTTACTTGTCTATTATAAAAGGAGGTCATGACTCAAAGAAGGTTGGGAAACACTGAGAAGGTTGATCTATAACAGTCTTCATTCTCGATCTTTAACACCACTCTCCAAATGTGTTGGGATTCCTTTTCATCACTCCACACTTTGTCTAAAAGGGTGGGATAGAAATCTAATAAATAAATAAATAAATAAATAAATAAATAAATAAATAAATAAATAAATAAATAAATAAATAAGGATGATAGGCATTGTAGTCGTACTTATCTCCAAGATGCTGTGTTGTGTATGGCAGGTCTACAAGAATTCCATTGATGACTCTTAAAAAACCTAGATAAAATGCCTTAATTGCTATTAAGTGCAGTACTGTTAGGGGGCAATGTACAACTGAACTGTAAAACCACAGTTTGTGGGGCTACAAGCTATCTTTGTAGTAAATTTATTTTGCTCCCTGTAGCAATATCATACATTATAGGCAGAATTCAAAGTGTTCGATCTTGCTTATAAAACCTTGAAGTTCCCCACTCTACCTCACCACCCCATTGTTAGGCTTTGACAAAGAGGTTGCTACTCCCATTGCCTAAAAGAACTGCCTCTCTGACCACAACTTTTTTTTCTAAACTGTCTTAGACAGAGTGAAGTCAACAGTTCAGTTTGATTTTTCCTAGGCTCCCATACAAGGATCCCTCTAAGGCACGTGGCTGTGCACACATGACTCCCCTCCCTTCCATGCAGCCTCTTTTGTCCCGGTCACAATGGAACCCTGCACACATGGGGTGGGGTGGGGGTGGAGTTGTGCATGCATGCAGGTGAGAATTCATGTGCATGTGGGGCTGAAAATTAGAGGGTACCTTGTTCCTATATCTAACATGAAAAAAAAGTCATTATATGGTATATCCTTTGGTAATTATAGCTTTGAAAATGGCAGAGCAAGGATATTTTAGGAGTTTTAGTAAATGATGATAAATTTATTTAATACAGCAGGACCTCCATATCAACTGTGGATTGGCTCAACCCCCCCATACTGAAAACAAAAAGAAAACCACATATCAACTGTGGATTGGCTCAACCCCCCACACACACACACACACCCCACTGAAAACTGTGGATAATAGTGGATGCTATGTATAAATAGCATGGTAAAAGAAAAAGAAAGAAAACCAGAAAAAATATTTTCACATGCATTACCAGAACTGGCCATTTGAGGGCGCCAGAGACTCTGCTATGTATTCTTTGTTGTGGCTTAGCCGTTAAGTCATGTCCAATATTCGTGACCCCATGAACCACAGCACGCCAGGCCCTCCTGTCTTCCACTGCCTCCTGGAGTTGGGTCAAATTCATGTTGCTAGCTTCAATGACACTGTCTAACTATCTTGTCCTCTGTCGTCCCCTTCTCCTCTTCCCTTCACACTTTCCTAACATCAGGGTCTTTTCCAGGGAGTCGAGTCTTCTCATGAGATAGCCAAAGTATTGGAGCCTCAGCTTCAAGATCTGTCCTTCCAATGAGCACTCAGGGTTGATTTCCTTCAGAATGGATAGGTTTGATCTCTTTACAGTCCAGGTTACTCTCAAGAGTCTCCTCTAGCACCAGAATTCAAAAGTATCAATTCATCAGCGGTCAGCCTTCTTTATGGTCCAGCTCTCACTTCCATACATCACTACTGGAAAAACCATAGCTTTGACTATG